CGATTAGGAATGAACTGCCTTTGAACATAAATTGTCCAATTTCTTACACCTATTGATTTCGGATCGAGCCCAAAACTTGGGCAACATCATAATATGGTGGCAGGAGTCATTTGGTTAGTTTTTCCTGAAATCCGATCTCTAGAACTATGAAATACACCAACCACTCCGATTGGGAACGAACTGCCGTTGAACATAAATTGTCCAATTTCTTACACCAATCGATTTCGGATCGAGCCCAAAACTTGGGCAACAACATAATATGGAGGGAGGAGTCATTTGGTTCAGTTTGAGTGAAATCCGACCTCTAGAACTACCCAAAACACCAACCACTCCAATTAGGAATGAACTGCCTTTGAACTTGAATTGTCCAATTTCTTACACCTATTGATTTCGGATCGAGCCCAAAACTTGGGCAACATCATAATATGGTGGGAGGAGTCATTTGGTTAAGTGTGAGTGAAATTCGATCTCTAGAACTACCCAAAACAGCAACCACTCCAATCAGGAAAGAACTGCCTTTTAACTTGAATTGTCCAATTTCTTACACCTATTGATTTCGGATCGAGCCCAAAACTTGGGCAACAACATAATACGGTGGGAGGAGTCATTTGGTTAAGTTTGAGTGAAATCTGATCTCTAGAACTACCCAAAACACCAACCACTTCAATTAGGAACGAACTGCCATTGAAGTTGAATTTTCCAATTTCTTACACCTATTGATTTCGGATCGAGCCCAAAACTTGGGCAACATCATAATATGGTGGGAGGAGTCATTTGGTTAAGTTTGAGTGAAATCCGATCTCTAGAACTACCCAAAACACCAACCACTCCAATTAGGAACGAACTGCCTTTGAAGTTGAATTGTCCAATTTCTTACACCTATTGATTTCGGATCGAGCCCAAAACTTGGGCAACATCGTAATATGGTGGGAGGTTTCATTTGGTTATGTTTGAGTGAAATCCGATCTCTAGAACTACCCAAAACACCAACCACTCCAATTACGAACGAACTTCCTTTGAAGTTGAATTGTCCAATTTCTTACACCTATCGACTTCAGATAGAGCCCAAAACTGGGGCAACATCATAATATAGTGGGAGGAGTCATTTGGCTAAGTTTGAGTGAAGTCCGATATCTAGAACTACCCAAAACACCAACCACTCGAATTAAGAACGAACTGCCTTAGAACTTGAA